GATTGCCGTAATACGGTAAAGGGTAGGCGGGTGGCGAGTTGTTCCCGATTAACGAGTCCACGAGGAAACTTCGCGACATACCGTTTAATTTATCCGTTCGATTCACACGTAACAACGTCACGAAAGTTCAAGTTTCCACGTTTCGAGCCTCCTCGATCCCGAGATCGAGTACGAATTGAAACACTAAATCCTGAAGCCACTCAACCGTCCTTCCGCACGATCCCTCGATTCACAGCTTCGATCCTTCATCTGCTCGTGAACGTATATCACTTTTCTATAATTTTCTTTCTATTTTCCAATCTCATCCAATCTTAACTAGGGAACGATGCGAGAGGGCAAAGGTAAGAAAGATTATTTTTTCAAAATAAAGAAACTCGGAGATCCTCGCGGTTCGATGGTAAACCGTCCTCTGCACCCCGGGAAAACAGCGCTCAAGATATATATATATAGACGGGGGTTGCTAACTCCACCCAGGGGTTGGTTTCCTTGGGGCCCCCTTTTGTACAGGGCCCCGCCCTTTCCTCGAGGGTGCCCCCCTTTTCGATTCACCCTAACAGCGCACGGGGACCAAACGGATCGCCTCCCCTGGGATCGACACCGAGTAGGGCATTTTCTCGCAACGCTAATTCGACGGGTGGCTAATACGTCCGGAAACTTTATACACTCCCGTATACTCCCATCTTTCCACTATTATTGGCCTGCGCCGCACGCTCCAACCTCTCCCCCCTTCTGCGATGTCTCCTTATTATTCGAGGCCGCATTCGTTCCTCGCAATGATTTTGAAGTATGATTTTAAATTGGCGGAAACACGCGCAAAATCCGGAGGATATATAGTTTAGGGATGCGTGGGGTTCGGTTAAAGTGAATTATGTTTGTTTGTTTGTTTGTTTGTTTGTTTGTTTGTTTGTTTGTTAGTAGTTGATGATTTTCGAGTTTCTTGATATTCTAATTATTTTTCCATAAGAGGAATAATAATAGGAATAACAAGAGCGATGATGCTCGTTTCCGTTATTTCTTCGTGTGCCGAAGAATCTGGTCGGCCAATCGAGATAAGACGAAGGAAGGAGACGGCACAGTGGTAATTCAACGTGACTAAAGAAAGCGTCATTAGTGGTTTCCTCGAGGGTGAAATTGGAGAACGTTTTACGCCAATCAGTGGAAACATTCACGAAGGGAAAATTTCCCAGGTAACGTTGCTTAATTTTCGGTTCCTTCGCACGCTTCCTCCTTCGTACGAAACTTTCGATCGGTTTACGTTTCGACGAAAAGAAAGGAAAAAGAAGGAGAGTAAAGGCGATAAATAATTTCGTTGAAAGCGTCGAAAAGTTTTATCGATTAAGTGGGGAAGGAGAAAAAAGAAAGAAAATTCTTAGGAATTCATCTCGCCTTTCTCTATGTAGAAAAGTGTTTCCGCATCGATGTTCAATAACTTGAAAGATCCAAATCGAATCCGAGGAACGAGCAGCTTTTTTTCTTCCTCTCTTTCTTCCATCGAACAATTTCCATTCCAGAAAGCATCTGGATTCCACGATCCACGCTTCCGATAAAGTTTGCCGCTGGTTTTATTAGATCAAACGAATAATAATAATCCTACCAACTCTGCAAAAATCCTTTGGCACCGTTTTCAACGATTCCTTTCTCCCGTTTGATTACTTTAATTTCGTTTCCATACATTTGTCGTTAAATTATTTCGTATATATATCTTTAAATGGCCTCGCTCGCGTATCAAGAAGAATCGAAGACAAATAAATAAATTGTTTGTCAAACCATCGATACACCATGAATTTTAAAACAGGGCTCAGTTCCCTATTCCACGACCACGAGAATTTTAACGATCCCGGTTATGCAAACTCTTAAACGTGCACGATCGATGAAAATGGGAGGCCAGGTTCCAGTTATCGTTCTTCGAAGACGCGGCTCGCTCAATAATTCCACGAATACGCATACTTTCGAGAGACTTAAAGGAGTAGGAGGGAGGAATATTAAATTTGTTCGTGAAATAATTCGCTAAAATAATTTATTCCCGAAAATTGCCAACGAATTCGAGTTTCATTGTATTCGTTGGCAACCCGATACGTTGTGCTCAATCCATCGAAGAAACAGCGAACCGTGTCGAACGCGCAGTGACGAACTTCGTTCCACTTCTTATTAGAGTGGAGTATTTTGCTGCTCGCCGAGTTAATCTTTTGATTACTACGTGGCTGCTTTATCGACCGTGTCGCGTGTGGAGAGCGCGTTCACGGCGCGTGTTCAGAAAGCGGAAAATTAATATTTAACGTCGAAAACCTCTTTTCGAGGTATCGGGTATCGGGTATTCAGCGACGGTTTTCGCCTCGTCGCTCGGTGCCACATTTTCCTGTACTCGAACGTACTTCGACCCTTGGCCACCTGCTCCACGAATGCACGGCTCGTATTCGAGAATCGCCACGTCATGTGTCCACGATAACGTGGTGACAACAATATTCGTTAACGACGAGCTCGATTCGTATCTGCAACGATTCGTGCCCTTTTCCTTTTCATCGTTGCTCCACGTCGAAACGATATCTCCGCCGATGGAAACGATAAAGGAGAATTTCGAAACAACTTAACATACAACAATTTAACATTCTGCTCCCTTCGTTAGCGAGTTCGCGTTAATCCATTTAGAGCATTCGCGGCAAACGAATTAAACGCGATACGAAGGTGGTTTGAGAAAAGATTGAGAGAGAGAGAGAGCATAAGCCCTTGATTTTAAACCTCTAATAAAGCGACTAATCCCATTACGATGTTACCAAGGCGAGGAGGAGGCCGGAACCACCCTGTATTAAAAATCGGGGGGTAACGTTGTATCACGAGCCGCTCGTGAATAATACAATACGCGTATCTCTCTCTCTTCCAGCATATGTCCGGCTGATTTCGAAGGGTTGCCCGCACCCTCCTTGCGAGGGGTTGGATCCGCGCCACCCTTCCGACAACGAAACATCGAATATCGCAAACAAAAGTTAGAGACGCGCGCGTATGCAGCGTACTTTGTTACCACCGAATCATTACGACCGAAGGATATTTTAATTTCACGTGGGACCCCTCCTTTAGGGCATCACCATTGGCTCCCCTTTTTATTTGGGGCGTATCCCAATCTCGAGGAAGAGACTCGAGAACCGCCGAGACTAGATGTTCGAACGGAGGAGGGAAGAAGAATAGGTTTTATATGTATATATATATATATATGTATGTTTTGACTCGGATCTCCGATTTCTTGGTTGAAAATGGATATTAATGTCGAGTAAAGTAAACGTCGCGTAACGCAATATAATAATCCGTTTCGTAATCGATAATACAAGGGAAAGGGACGATGGAAAAGAAATTTTACAACGAGAATCGTCGTTCGAATTCTAATTCAATTTTCCACTTCTTCTTCCAAATCTCTTTGCTGCTAAAGTTTCAAAGAGTACGTCTCGAGGAGTGGCATACATAGCTGGGCATTTTTCAATTTTCTTTACTAGCTAGTAATACCCTAGTATAACCTTCGTGACCTAGTTTTAAAAGCTTCCTCCGTGTATTTCTTCCCTGAGTAACGATGCTGCTCTAATGCTCGCGATATTAGTAAGAATATTTTAAAGGTCAATTCTCAGTTCACCGCTTTATAAATATTTGAAAATTATCCGATCCGCGAGCTTTCGACTTTTGAGAACTGTTGAAAACCGTTTTCATCGATAAAATAGTTAGTTTTCAATGACGGATTAAGGGCAACTCGTCGTATAATCGGTGCAAACAAAGTTTCAAAATTCAACATAGTATCGTGTAACATAGTTTTGAGTTAATATCCGGGGGACTGGTTTATACTGACGTGCCACGCATCGAGTATAAGCAAGCCTCTTCGCGGCACTGATCTCGAGATAAATTTGGACATTTGCCAAAAAATTATTAAACGGCGGATATTAATGAGTTCCTCCTCTTCCCCTCTTCCTCGACGTAGATTACCCAAGGTTGGCAACCAGATCTCCAAGTTTCTTGGCGCGTAAACCGGAACGCCTCGGGGTCAACGATGAACCAAATTATTTAACGGGGGTTAAGGAAGAAAGTTGGAAGAAAAGAGGAAAGCTAGAAAGGGTGAAATGCAAGAGGCCAATTATTTCCCATTTTTTTCGACGATGTTTAAAAAAAAGTCGAGAGACGATAAGTTTTCATCGATCGTAATAAAAATTTCACGCTAATCGAACCCGTTCTTTCTTTCCACGAATTTTTCAAATTTATATTAAACTCGTAAAACTTTCCTTCGACTCGCAACTTTCTTCCGGAACAGATTCTTCTGCGATCGTGAAATTTGATCATTTGGATGATCGTTTCGAAGGAAAAGATAAAGCGTTCTTCCATTTATTTTCGATCGTTTCTCTCGCGAGAAACGTAAAGGATTATTAATTCTTTTCTTTTTACCCTCGCGGAATCTTGAGACATTGAACGGAGAATAAATTTGCCGTAAAAAACGCAATCCTTTGTCACGATGAATTTCAAATCTCTCCCTCCTTTATTTTCCAAATAATAAAGAGTAAAAATCGCTTGCCGGGAGCCACCGCCGACATTCAACACAGATTTGATTTCAAATTTTTAAATTGCCCAGCCGAGCAAATAAAACTCTTTCTCTCTCTCGACACCGCGTCGCGTTTTTT